GTTGTCGTGGAAGGCTCTTAGTAAAAATGTCCGCTACCTGAAGCTTGGTAGGAACAAACATGGTAACGAGTTTCCCAGATACAACGAGCTCACGAACAAAATGGTAGTCAAGATCGATATGTTTGGCACGCTTATGAGACATCGGGTTTTGTGTGAGAAATAGGGCATTCTGATTATCACACAAGATGGTCGGACGACCAGTGGGAAGAAAGTGAAGCTCACACAACAAGTGAGTAATCCATATGAGTTCAGCAGCAGTGTTAGCCGTGGCTCGATATTCAGATTCACAGCTGGAGCGAGAGACCGTAGGCTGCTTTTTGGCGCTCCATGATACAAGATTACCCCCAGGAAGATCGAGCACCCATAGGTGGACCGACGCGTATCCAAACAACGAGCCCAATCCGCATCAGAATAACCAACAAGGCTCGTAGATGTAGGTCTCGAAAAAGTACGACCATAGGAGAGGGTGCCCTTAACATATCGGATAAGCCGCTTGATCGCCTGATAGTGATCAATAGTAGGAGCCTGAAGAAACTGGCTAACCTGATTAACGGCATAAGAAATATCAGGACGGGTGATGGTCAAATATTGCAAAGCCCCAACAAGAGAACGATAATGGGTCGGATCCGCATAAGGTATACCAGATGCAACAAAAGAGATACTCGGGGATAGAGGGGTCGCCACGGGCTTTGACTCAAGTAGGCTAGCACGGGAAACAATAGCATGAGCATACTTGGACTGGCTAAGAAACAACCCGGACGAAAGACGCTTGGCTTCTAAACCGAGAAAGTAGCTGAGGTGACCGAGATCCTTGATCTTGAATTCTGTGTGAAGCTTGGAGATAAAAGAGCGAATAACAGCCGAGTCGGAGCCTGTTAGGATAAGGTCATCCACATATACAAGTAAGTATATGAGACAAGCACCACGTTGAAACACAAACAAAGAGGGATCAGCACGACTGCAAGTGAACCCATTTGCCACAAGAAAGGAGCTCAGGCGATGAAACCATGCCCTATGAGCTTGTTTGAGGCCATAAATGGCCTTGTTAAGCTTGCAAACATGATCAGGGAAACGAGGATCCTCGAACCCTGGTGGTTGCCGCATATACACCGTATCGGACAAGTGGCCATGAAGGAAGGCGTTGTTGACATCAAGCTGGTGGAGTGGCCAATTATGAATAACAGCTATAGTCAAGACAACCCGGACGGTTGCCGCCTTCACCACCGGGCTAAAAGTATGAGAAAAGTCGAGACCGGGAATTTGACTAAAACCTTGGTGTTCATAGAGAGAGAGGAAGCATTAGAGTCAGACATGATGATGAAGCTGAAGGGTGAGGAAAGCTGATGGGTGGGAGAGGAAGAAGAAGGGAGCGACGATTCTAGAGGGAGGGAAAAAGAAGGTTGGGAGTTACAAGGCTTGATACCATGTGAAAGTTAATGAAAAACTCTCTGTGAACGATACACGAGAGTTACGATGATATAAATAGGAAAATAAGTTACAAGAACACCCCTCTAACTAATAAATAACTTACATGAACACCCCTCTAACTAATGAATAAATACATAATGGTACAAGAACTATATTTGTCTAATATAAATACTCGGGTCAAGGGTCGACTCATGGATCAAAAGATTTGGGTGTCTATTCCATCGTCTTTGAAGAAAATGAGCCGCAAACCACCACAATTACAAGATTTACACTTAATACCCTTTGAACATACTTACTTCAATATCAGTCCCAAAGAACTTACAAATAAACCCCTACAATATTAAAACATACACAAACATATCCAATGCACTAATACAAAGAATGTTAAGTTTAAAACATTAAATATTGTATTATTTCAATACCCCACTCAAACTTAATAAACCAATAGTATTATTCTTTATTAAATACATCTATCAAACTAATTCACTTTAAGAGAAAATCATGTGAGAAAACTAATGACTTTGTCAACAAATCTGCATTTTGATTAGAAGAGCTAATCTTTTGATTTTTAAAATACCATTTAATACCTTTTCACGAACAAAATGAAGATCTACTTCAAAGTGTTTTGTTTTTTTGTGAAACACATGATTTAACGTCAATTTGATAACATATTTGTTTTCACAAAAAACATTAATAGGGGTTAACTTTTTAATTCTAAGTAACATAATACATTTAAAATCCAAATGATTTCACATGTAATAGAACCAAGAGCCCTATATTCGGACTCAGTGGAAGACCTAGAAACAGTTGACTGCTTCTTGCTTTTCCACGAAACTATTGAATTACCAATATAAATAAGATAACTAGTAACAGACCTTCTCAAAGAAAGACATTTTGCCCAGTCAACATCCACACATCCATTTAACTCAAATGTATTAGATTTTGTTATAGCAATTCCTCTACGAGGACTACCTTTGAGATATCTTAGTAATCTAAAGGCAACATTTAGATGATAGTTTTTAGGTTTGTGCATGAAGTGACTTAAATTTTGAAATAAATAAGAAATATATAGTCTTGTTCTAGTTAAATAAATCAATTTTCCAACCAATTTTTGAAATTTGGTTATATTATCAAGAAAATCATCTTTATCACAATCACGACTAACAACAAAATTTGCTTCTAAAGGAGTTTTAATTGGTTTACAACACAGCATGTCAAAGTTTATCCATTCCTTTTACCTTCGGGATAAAAGCGATATCTGTGGGCCCCTCGATGATTTAGC